GCCACTTGCACTCTTGGTGTTCAGGTTCCTCCCCCCCCCGTGTGCACGCTCGTGCCCCGGCCTTGCACGCTCAGACACATGCACAGGCTGCAGCGTTGCACTCTTAGGTCACGGACTTGCGCGGAGCCGCGTGCTTGCGGGTTTGCACACTTGTGCACAGCTTGAGAGTGCAACCCCGCGGGCTCTTGCACGTGAGCGTGGTGCAGAGGCTCTTGCATTTAGCTATGCTCCCTTCCACCAGCATGAGTGCTTGTACACACTTATCCATGCAGGCTCTGGGATGCTACACTGAGCACCTGTTGTGGTGCCTGATTCCTCAGTGTGTTTGCACTCACGGTGATTCATGCCAGGGATGATGTTCCTGCAAGTCACTAACTTGCTCGTTCCCCTTGTGCATGTGTAGACAGGAATGGCAATCCACAGTTATGCGCCTTTCTGCTTGCTCATTCTCACTTCACTATCTCACTTCACCTCCATGCAACATCATGAAACAGACAGCTGGCAGTACACAGTTTCAGTTTTTTATGCTGCTTGTTTCTAATAAAAAGTTCAAGATCTTTTCTTCTGACTTCAAGACTCTTTATTCTGAACTGCACACTAATACTGTGGGAGAGCACCCAGGGCAGTCTTTCTGTACGTGTTGGCATTTGAGGTGTTTGAACGCAAGGTGGCTGTCATGATTCCCAGATTCTCTTCCCAGCTTTAGGCTGGAGCTTGGCCAAGAGGTCAGGGCAGATCACACTGAGAGTCAGAACTCTTGGACCCTACTTTAAGTTCTGAATGTGTGACTTGGGGCCAATCACTTGATCTGTCTGCTGGTCTCCCCATCTGCAAAATGATGTTCACAAGGCTTAGAAAAGCTTGTAAACAGTGGAAAGAAAGAGAGAATGTGTCTCTTCTTTTCTCTGCCAATGTTAAACAATGAATTTTGCCTGGTTTCTCTTTGAATGATGGTGTTTTGACACACCAATACATTTCTTTAGCTGTCCCTCATCAACTTGTTTACTTATTCATATTTTTTTTTGTTTTTTACTTGCAGGCTCAGACTAAACCAGAGGAGTGTCTGAGGTGATATCGTGGCACAGAGATCAACTCACTATATTCAGAATCCACCAAGAAGCAGGACTAGGGTTGGGATGACTCATCTGTAAAAGCAGTGCAGTCATTTACCTTCCAGTGCTCTCGACAATTCTGGGGGAAGACGCCTTTAGAACGCCACATTCAGTTCCAATTCCCAGCTCTCAGAATCCAGAAAGATGTCAGCAAAGTGGAGGGTACTGGACAAGACCAGCAAAAAATGATTAACTGAAAAAAAATCTTTCTAATCGTAAAATTCTTTCCTGGGAGAGAATTAAGGCTAAAGAATTGTTACAATCCGTTTGTTGAGGACAGACAGACAGACAAGATGGCTCAGGTAATGAGCCCCAATTTACCCATCTGTAACAGGGATGCAACGTCACAGGGAGGTGACTGTCAAGTTGAATGGGCTGCAGAGCCCTTGGTGACCCACAGTGACAGTGGGTAGAAGTTGATGCTTAATTCAAACAATGTAATTCTGATCAAACAAGGTAACGGTTGAATTAAACAGGCAGCTAAGCACATGCAGCCAACATGGTTGCACACACAGCACCACAAAACTTGAACACTTTCTCCCAAAGCACTGCTCTTTAAGCTCAAGGGATCTCACCTTTTAGCTACCAGTTTTAAATTATAGCTCCTCTTTGGAGACCTCCAGCCACCAGAGGGTGGTGTAGTTGCACATTTGGCTGGCTATGTGTGCTTCATTCTGTTAGAGGGCACCGGCATGTTTGGGCAGTGGCTGGTTTAGCTGCTGGCTGGCTGGCTGGCTGGCTAAGCTCAGCTCAACCCTGCATCTTTCATGGTGGTTTATCTCATCTCCTAGGCAAGTCTCCTGGCCTGTGAGGGCCTCTCTGGGGTGTGCCTCGTGCCAACTGTTGCCAGCAAGAAGATGATGCCAAAACAGAGCTCCAAGCAGACAGAGAATGGAGAGAGAGGCACCAGCCCAAACGTGCTGGTATGGAAGGAACTATTATCTTTGCCTTGATCTCGCCCCATTACCATACCCACTATCGTTGCTGTGACTAGAAAGGAGTACCTACGTGAATTGGCTCGGGTGTCTCTAGAGAGTTCTGGGGGTAAGGGGCTCTGGAGGTGCACATGGGGAAGAATTGATCCCTGTTTTCTTTCCTTAAGGGTCACCGCCAAGAGAGTGAGAAGTCTCGCAGCCGTAAAGAGGAAGAGCCGGCAGAAGCATCGCAACCAAAAAAGACTATTAAAAAGGCAGGTAATCGTCCATGTTGTGCTCAGGAAGGAGCAGGGCAGATGGGGCTGCCTTGTGAAGTCTTGCCGTGCCCATGACCAGCCTTTCCTCCTGAGGGAGCTGTTGGTATTGCTGCCTCTTTCTCAGACAGTGGGGCATTTCAGGTGTTTGATTCCAACAGGCATCTGGCCCCTAGTGATTGCACTGTTCGGCCTTGAGGGCCCAGCACCTTGCAGCTGAGAAATTGATTCATAGGTTCCAAGAGTGACAGTGGAGGAAAGATGGTGAGGGGGGAACACGATACCCTAAATCAAAATAAGGAGACACACCTTGTGGTGGAGATTAGCTCTCCCTGCAATGCTGAGCTCATCTCACCTGCAAGAAGGATCGTAGCTAAAATGGGAGGGATAGTCTTATGAGTAAAGCAATGGGACTTGGAATCAGAACTCCTGAATTCTGTCCATGGGCCTCCCACTGGCTTGCTGCCCTTGCTGTGTCTTCATCTGCCTTCTTAAAAATGGAGGATGATACTAACCTTCCTTTTAGGAAGCTTGGGAGGCTCAGCTATTTATATTGTAGTTTCGTTAATACCACTTATCTCATATGTAGCACTTTTCAAAGTGCTTCACAATCTGTAATGCAGTGGCCAGGGGTCTGGGCATTTTGTTGTGCTGGGTGCTGTCCAGACACATGACAGAAATGGTCCCTTCCCTGAAGAGTTCACTAGAGGTCACCAGATGGGTGGGGGAAGAGGGGGTGAATAGCTTGGCAGCACCTGACCATGGAGCAGTTTTAAGTGCTTGCTGTGCCATGCTCTGGATGGGTGAGGGTCGGTCTGTCTGCTTTTCAGGTAATGGTGATCGAACAGAACGGCTCCTTCCAGCTGAGAATCCCCAAGAACTTTATTTGTGAGCACTGCTACGGAGCCTTTCGCAGCAGCTACCATCTCAAGAGACATATCCTCATCCACACCGGTAAAGAGTCAGGAGGGCGAGGGCCTTGCTCGGCCGATGGCTGCCGTGGGTCTTCTCGGTCAGAAACAGAGCAGGGAGTGAAGTATCGTGAGGCTGATCCAGCGGGGCCTGTAACTGGAGCTGTGCTCCAATGAGGCCAGGGTTCTCCTCATCAAACAGCCCAGCTCCTTCAGCAGAAAGCTTGCAAGAGGGTGTGAGGGCCCTAGCTAGGTTTAATTCAGAAAGTCTTGCTGCCGGGGGGTGAGGGCTGTGGTGCAGTGTGTGAATGCTCCCTGCAGAGGCGGTAAGCTAATGGCATTGTGTTCTAGCTCCTGCCATGGATCTGACCAGGAGGAGCCGCTGCTGCCCTCTGCTGCTCTTTGTTGAATGCCTGGATAACGATGGTAGAAGAGGCCAGCTCTTCTGTCCCTCTCTTTGCTTTTCTGCCACTTCACCCGAACAGCCCAGCTCGCAGAGAGAGCTGTGAGTTGTAGCATAGAGCAGGGCTGTAACAGCAGAGAAGAGAGGGTGACCAAACAGGCTATGCAGAGAGGACGATGTGCAGGGTTACAGACTAAATTAGACCCATCCCTGCCCTGGTGAGTTTTCCAGGGAAGCTCAAATGTGGCACAGCGCCAGAGTGGGCACTGATATGGGCACTTAGGGGAGGAGAAGGACCAGGTTCAGATGGCACTGTTTGATCAGTTAATGCAGACCAGCCTGGTGAATGGTCTTTCCACCTGGGGGCAGTGGCTTTGCAAGTGGGTTAAGAGGCTGCCTACATGTTGGGGGCAGCACAGGATGGCACAAGACAAGGAGATGAGAAGAGTTTCACGGTGGCGTCATTGGTAGGGCAAGTGGGGACGCAGCAGGAGAAGAGGGCAGATGTGCAAGCAGGCAGAGGAGCATAGGGGTCTGAGGCACGGCTGGGTTGGGCAGGCAAGTGGGGATTTGGAGCTAGGTGGTGGCTAGAGTGGGTGGTGCCAGGGAGCAGTACAAGACTCCCTTTCACAGACCCTTCTGCTCCTCCCCAGGTGAGAAGCCATTTGAGTGTGATGTGTGTGACATGCGCTTCATCCAGAAGTACCACCTGGAGCGTCACAAACGCGTGCATAGTGGTGAAAAGCCCTACCAGTGCGAGCGCTGCATGCAGGTAACCCCCGACTCCAGCCAGGCACGCCACCTGTCACTTTGCTGCAGACACTCCCCCATCCGTGGTCTGTGAGGGTAGCCCCCCCTTCCTGTGACCTAGCATCAGCCGGCGCCCTGTGCCTGGAAGGGCCTGGTCTCGCCCTGCCCCAGGCGTAGTGGCTTCCTGGAGCAGGACAGCAGGATTATACCAGGGAGCTAGCATGTGCCGATCTGTGCATGCACAGCGAGGGAAGCTGCTTCCTCCCTGTAGGAACTGCTATCCCCCTACAAACAGTCTGGTGAAGGGCAATCTGGGAATTCAGTCCTGGTTTGATCTAGCCCAGTCACATGTGCCTGGTGTGGTCTGTGCTTAGCAGTGCAGGTCTCTACCTGGCACACTCAGAATACTACAGAGAGATGAGCAAATCCTCCCACAGACATCAGGCCTACCACAAAACAGGTTCCCCAGTCAATGGCCATCCATTGGTCCAGCTGTCTTGCAGAGTTGGTGTCTGAGCTGGGTTAGACTCCAGGCTTCCACCCAGCAGAGCAGCCAGTTGCTCAGTCACATGGCACTGCGTCTTCTCGAGAGAGACCGACTGGGTCAGCTGAGGAGTGTGGCTGGGCGCTGGGCCAGGTTCTCGGTTACAATCCGGCCTCTTGTGCCACTCAAGCCGAGGGGGGTTGGATTTTGGCTGAAAACAGCCTGTGGGAATTCCCATGACAGAAGGTAGGGCCCACCCATTGGGCATTAAAAGCTGGCACAGCTACCCAAGCAAGTGTGGGGGAGGACAGGCCATGGCTGTGCCAATCCTCTGCTGCTGAAGTGTCCCTAGTTGTGTGAGCAAGAGCATCTCTCAGACAGCTATAACGAGCTGAGTGCCCTGAATGTGGGGGAGCTGGGCCTGGCTACAGCTCCCAAGCTGAACAGACTCCAGCCCTGTCTTGCTGCCCCAGAGACTCTCCTAGCTCCAAAGATGGAGTCTGCCATTCTCATGATAGGCCCCAGCAGTACAGACTGGCCTGTTATGGGGCTTTACTTATTGGCTGGATTTGATGTTGCAGTAACAGCCTCTCTCTCCTCCATCTCTCGCAGAGCTTCTCCAGGACAGACCGGCTGCTGAGACACAAACGAATGTGCCAGGGCTGCCAGACCAAAACCCCTGACTCGCAGCTGCTGCTTTAGGAGCCAGGGAGACGTGTTGGAAAAGCTAGGAAGTGGACAGGATTTTCAGTTTTCTGTGTCTGGTTTTTCCTGCTCCGGCTCCCTTAGCCAAAGGAGACAGAACTGGGGACAGGGACTCTCCTAGACTCTCAGATGAGGTCCTGACACTGTAAATAAGCTGAGGATGATCTGGAATCTCTACCCAACCAGCAGACGCCACAGGCAGCTGTGTATAAACCTTCTCTTCCCATTGGTTTGTTTTTGAAGCATCACCATTTGCCTCTCAGGAAAGGTTTCTGGGGACGACAGAGCAAAGCTAGCTCCGCTCACCTCAAACTCTTAACCCTTCCAAGCACCTGCTTGCACCGCTCATGCTCAGGGAGAGTTCAAAGGTATGAAATCTAGTGGAGTGGAAATCAACCGTGGTGTTCTTCTGGCTTTTTGCTTTTAACCCGTCTCCCCGGAAGAGAGCAGCAAAGCAGTGGATTACCAGAGGCAGTTGTGGAGGATTTTGGTTCGGCGTAAAATGCAGGAACTCGTCTCAGCTGGGAGCTTGACAATGAGGTCTGCGAAGCTTTTGTTTCTAGAGTGTCTGGTTTTGTAACCGAGTTTCCTCCTGCTCTTTCCAGTGGGGATGTCGGAGGGGGAGGGAAGGCGGGGGAGTGTAGCAGTTGCAGGGACGCAGTTGAAACTCTTGTGACGGCCTGTGTGATCAGTGTCGTGCGGAGCTGTGTTGCTTGGGTGGCTGCCGCACATGTGGCCGAGGCAAACCCTCATGGCATTGTCTGAGCGTGTCTTAGTAACATCCGAACCCTGGGTGACGGGCACGGCTTGGGAGTATGAAACCCATGGCTGTGGGGAAGCTGCTTGGCCTCCTTCCTTGGCCCAGGGTATGTGAGGATGCTTGGGGTGATCACTTATCACATGTCACTGTTCCCCGGGGGGGCCTTTGGAATTCAGATCCTTGTCTGCTTGCAGCAGCCTGTACTCTGACTTTCTCAGAAAGGCTCTTGCCTCACATGCTGCAGGGATTGGGTCTCACTCAGAAAGGATTTCAGGTGCTTTGTAATTTGGGATAAGCCCCACCCTTTTGAGTTTGAGCCTGAGGACTAGCCAGGAATGGATCTTTGCCGTGTCTCTTATGGAGTTGGAGGGAATGCAATCCACTCTCGGATTTCACTGCCATTACATTGATGCTCTGTCCACTGGGAGAATGTGGGGGACACACCGTGTAAGTAAACTGGTAGCTTCCTATTGATGCTCTGTCCACTGAGAGAATGTGGGGGGGACACCGTGTAAGTAAACTGGTAGCTTCCCCCACCGCAACTCTCCAGGAGCCCAGGAGCAGCCGCGCAGCTCAGAGGGAGCTAGAACAGCTGACGGGAACTGTAGGGGAAAGCAGTTACATTACACTTTCTACTGCTGAGGAAACAAACAGTGGACAGGAAGGAGGAGAAGTCTCCCCGGCCACTCTCTGGAGCCCTGATTGTTGCAGGACAGGAGAACAAACCCCATTACCAAAGCATCAGCGCTGCCCCCCCCCGCCCTCCTCCCAGTTCCCAACGCATGTTTGTGCCCTGAAAACTCTGATCTGTAGCTGATGCAAACTACACTTTCTACTGCTGAGGAAACAAACAGTGGACAGGAAGGAGGAGAAGTCTCCCCGGCCACTCTCTGGAGCCCTGATTGTTGCAGGACAGGAGAACAAACCCCATTACCAAAGCATCAGCGCTGCCCCCCCCCGCCCTCCTCCCAGTTCCCAACGCATGTTTGTGCCCTGAAAACTCTGATCTGTAGCTGATGCAAACTGAGTCAGGCCTGTCCCTGATGTTATCAGTAAGGGAGAGGCTGTGTGTGTCTGCGTTGGGTCCCATTCCCCCTGTAGTGACAGCCGTATTGGATACTCCCCACTCAGCATTCTGCATTGAGAGCCCCACCCATATGTCCCTGTATGCGTAGCCCAAGTCTCAATAAGCATGGTCTGTGTGCACAGCAGCTGGCGTCGCTGCAGCCCCAGCATGCGACTCGGTGCCCTAGTAATTGTTCTGGGGGAAGGAGAAAACAGGCGTGAGGGAAGGTTACACAGCACAGCAAGAATCACCAATCAGCTTTTTGAGCATCAGTGTCACTGGAGCAAAACGCCCCTGGGAAACAACCCAAGAGTTCTTCAAAATGTCGGTGGCTCTGTCACTTCTAAGTTCACATCCCTGTGTTGAGCCAGTGATGTGCCGAAATAAAATCTTTTTGTAGAAGCTTCTCCTAGCATCAGATCAAACCTCCAGGGAACGTAGGTGCTGCCTAAGTTTCTGCCCCCACCCCACGAGTAAGGCAATGGGCTAGAAGTCAGAAGGGTGTGGGTTCTAGTCCCTTTTCTTTCCCCCACTGGC